CCCTGTCAGGAACAACTGGTCCATGCCTTTTTTTTGTTTCCTCAAGGCTTGACTATTGCAACGCTCTCCTCATCGGGACTCCTAGCTGGAGCCTTCAGAAGCTCCAATACATACAGAACAGTGCCACTGGGATCCTGATGAGGGTGAGAAAGTACAACCACATCACACCCGTCCTTTATTCCCTCCACTGGCTTCCTGTCTCATTCAGGATCTAATACTAGATCGCACTAATCACCCATCAGTGCATCCACGGGAATGCTCCTTCATACCTCAAAGAACTACTCACATCACAAACCTCCAAACGCAACCTCCGTTCCACAACAAACCATCTGCTTCGTCCCCCCAGGACCAAACTCCGCACAATGGGGGATCGGGCTTTATGTGCAGCTACTCCTCACCTGTGGAATTCCCTCCCAGACCATCTGAGGACTCCCCAGACCACTGACGCCTTTAACCTGTTACGCACCGCCCCCCCGGTACCGGGCGGATAAACGCGTCATTTGCCGGAAACAACGTCTAAGGAATCTTAATATTGAATAAACTATGAATGTTTTATATCCATGTAACGGGAAGAAACTCAGCTAACTGATCTTTTTTTTTTTTAAATAAAAAAACAAAAACACAATGCTAACACTCAGCCTCTGAATTAGCCACGAGCGAAAAAATGTAACCTATCACTGCACCTAAACTCACTCATAACTCCCTCATTACTTATCCTAGATGCACAGCCAACCCCTCGATTAGCATCTCCTGGAGACACAGAATCTGTGGGTGTCCACCTCAACACTCAGTGATAAACATTTGCGACGCTATAAACGAAGACGTACATCAAAACATGTGGCGCTAGGTAGCTACAAACGCTAACATGGCTTACCTTGGTCAAAACTGGTCTTCAATGGCATTAAAACGATAAAAAAACGATGCTGCAGTTAATCCATAGGTTAATCCAATGTGTCTGTGTCCTCTTTGAAATGATTTCTGATAATCCATAAGCAATAAAACTGCTTTTTCGTTTCCAAATGTCAGAGCGAGAGATCGCTTCACTCTGGTGCAAACCTGCATGCGGGAAGCCCCCACCGTTTGTTTTCACAACGAGTGTGTGTGGGGGCCTCCTCCTTCGATTCTATTGGCTCTAATGGTCAGAAAGAGGTGTCAACCATCAAAATCGACCAAGGGGGGCCAGAGATATGAAAAAATAATGTCACCCAAATCACCTCAGAGGTGGAGTGGTTTTGGCTAAACCTCTCTAAAAAGGTCAAATGTCACTTGTTTTGCATCAATCTTGATACAGGGTACTTATTATATGTTGTACTTTGGATTCTTAAAGCTTTTAGTCTACTAACCTATCATCCAAGGGTAGTTTTCACTATAAGTAAAAAATAATTGTTGGACGGACACTATAATTTACAGTTTTTTACTATGTAAAATCTGAATTTTCTTTAAAATAAAAAACATCTATATTGATTCTGACACTTCTACATCCAACTCACAAATGTAACCTTTCTTTAATAAAATAAATTATTCATATAACCCTTTTAGAAGTTAAGTTGTAGTCATTTGTTTTGGGCATGTCATTTTCGAGCCTGAAACATGAAAAACAGGCTTGGTGCTTAACAGGTTAAGAAAGGCCTAAAAACCTTTCTTTAAATAAAAGCCTTTGATGAAAGCCTTTTTGTTTGTTTCTTACGCCTCCTGTAGCACTTTGGGATTGCTTTTAGCAATGAAAGGTGCTTTACAAATACAATTTATTAGGGCCTGAGCACGAAGTGTGCGAAGACCTATTGTTATTCACAGAAATATTATTCTTATAATTCTCGCTCTGCGCTTTAGAGGGCTTTACGACGCCATTCATGTAGCGACATTTTGCACAGCCCCCAGGAATGGTGAAAATGTTTACATTCTGGAGTGGATGGGTTCAAAATGTTCAACATGCTCGCTAGCGCCACCTATGAAAAATCGGTTTTTCGAAGAATTTACATAGTCGCACCGTAAGTTGGATGGACCTGAAATGTTCCACACTTATCCGGGTGGACCTGTTCTACATATTATCCTCTTGAACCCTTAAGCTCTGCCTACTTTGATTATTTTTTTTATTAGCATAATGTGAAAAAAAGTGAAATATTAACTTAAATTTCAATTTTTAGTTTTCCTACACCAAACTTAGTATACAGCATCGGTGGAGGGTCAGACACATTACCGTAGGAAATTAGCACGATGTGTGGAAAAATGTGGCCGCCATCAATCAAAAGGTATTAGCAGAAAGGTGTGGCTTAGACATAAATGCTCATAATTCATCAACAATGTATCCATTTAACACAGATGTCAGTGGATAGGTTCAGTCTGTCTTGGGGAATAGGCACACCAAAGCATGTTCATTTTGGACTATAGGTGGCGCAAAAAACACCACAAATGTATACAGCAAGAACGGATGGACGAAATATATATATTTTGTAATACACAGACTCGGAGGCTGAGTATGAACTAGTGTTAATTTCGTTGGCTAAAACTATGACGAAATATGTTCGTCAACAACCTTTTTTTCCATGACTAAAACGAGACGATGACGAGACGGCACCGACGGCAGTAAACAATAACTGTAACGAAATCAACATGCAATATTGTTGACGAAAAGTGACGAGACAAAAATGTAGTTTACTAAATAAAAACTATGCCAAAATCTCTCTTTACTTTCGTTGACGAAAAATGAGGAGACGAAATATTATCAAAGATAACGTTACATCTCTGACAGTCAGTTTTTCTCCCAGCAGTTCCATTTCCGGTGCTGCGGCTGGGCAGCAGCTGTGTGTCTGTGCTGCGGGCAGCGGGAAATTTGAATTACACCGGGCCAGCGGCACACTGTGAACTGTCAGGAAAACTCGGGTCTAACTCATGGGCCGTATCTCATTTCTGGGATTTCCACTCCTCGACTCCTCGACTCCTCGAATCCTCGGTGCTCCGGTAGTGACCCGGAAATGAATTTCAGCGCGCCATGTTGAAGGACATCTCATTTCTCTAAATGCACTTCGAGGACCGAGGATCGAGCGTCGAGGCTCTCTGGAGGAGCTATAACCGAGGATACACTGATGGGTCCTCCACGGCTCCTTCGTGGATGCATTTCTGGCAACAGTGATGTTTCAAAGAGTCGTGACGCACGGCCGGACTGATCTCAGCCAATGAAAGCTCTGCATGCATCCCCTGGATATTATTGTATTAACTGCTTTCATCGAGACGCGATGTTTACAGCTGTGAGGTCCGTGCAGAAAGCAGAGCAGTGTGTATAACAGAGGTGTGGACTCGAGTCACATGACTTGGACTCGAGTCAGACTCGAGTTACCAATTTGATGACTTTGGACTCGACTTGACAAAATCACAAAACACTTGCGACTCGACTTGGACTTGAACACCAATGACTCGGGACTTGACTTGGACTTGAGCCTTCTGACTTGAGGTGACTTGATAATTTAATTCAGGGGTCTCCAACACGCCGATCGCGAGATGCCGCTTGAAGAGCAGACTCCCGTCGGGGAGAGCAGAATCTTCAGCCGCTCCGACTCTTGCTGAGAATCCATGCAGGCAGGGGCGGGACTTTATTTTGCTGAGCCACCATGCGGCCAATCATATGCGAGGACACACTAGGATCATACCATTATGTGAAAGAAGGGTGGGGGGCAGACGCTCCAAAGACAGCAGGTGTAGTGGTACAGGCCAGCTACACAGAGCCACGGGGAGACGGGGAGACGGATTTAAATGCAAGCGCGTCGGAAGAAGTCAAGAAATTTGCGAAAACCGAAAAAAGAAGCAGCATCTGGCTGCATGTCAATGATATTGGAGAAAGCAAAGCTGAGTGCAGGATTTGTAAAATGAAAATAACCTTCAGAGCAGGGTTTTTGTTTTGGTAACCACTCAGGATTTATTGCCAGAGGTGGGAGAAGTTCAGATCTTGTACTTGAGTAACAGTACCAGAATGTAGGAATACTCGGTTACAATAAAAGATCCTGCATTCAAAATGTTACAAGTAAAAGTACAAAAGTATTAGCATCAAAATATAGTTAAAGTACCACCTGCAGAGGGATCTAGATGCAGGTGGTCTCTTCCCCATAGAGACCGGCTCGCTGCACATTATCCCTTGCATAAAGATAGATTGTGGGTCCCTTATAACATGTTGTACACGGTGGAAATAAACATTCTGGTTACCTCAACATCAGGGATCTTATACATTAAACTCCTTCTGAATCAGGATAATGTATTTTAATTATACTTAGACTTATACCTTTTTACATCCTACTATCTCGCAACTATAGCCTGTTGTGAATAAAGTTTAATTTCATTTACATCCGGTCTCTGTGGCCTGAAATCGACTCCGGAGGATACATCAGTGTACCTTCGGTTAAAGCTCCTCCAGAGAGCCTCTTCTCTCCTCTCTCTCCTCTCTCTCCCCTCTCTCCCCTCTCTCCCCTCTCTCCTCTACATCAGTGTACCCTTGGTTATAGCTCCTCCAGAGAGACTCCTCTCTCCTCTACATCAGTGTACCCTCGGTTATAGCTCCTCCAGAGAGACTCCTCTCTCCTCTACATCAGTGTACCCTCGGTTATAGCTCCTCCAGAGAGACTCCTCTCTCCTCTAAATCAGTGTATCCTCGGTTACGGCTCCTCCAGACAGCCTCCGCAATCCGTTTCCGGGTCGCTGCCGGAGAACCGAGGACTCGAGGACGTGAACATTTGAGAAATGACAAACGGCTCATTTCGGAGGACTCACGCGTGTCTGCTTGACGCTGGCGCGACCGGCGACCCTCCCCGACAGGCGCATAGACGCGAAGGCCCGCCCACAACTGCGTGCACGTCTGTGACCGCAGTTTTAATTATTATTATTATTATTATTTTTCAGTTTCATATCTCCATACTTTAGGCTGTTGGCAATGGGCATTATTTTTAAATTATGTGAGGCTAGAGGCAAAGCCTCCATTATCTCTCTGCATTTTAGTTCTCTTTTTGTCCCTTCAGGGCTTCCTTCATGACCTCTTCCTCCAACACAGGAAGTCCATCACCCCTGAGAAACTGGAGGAGTACACTGACACCATGGTAACCTGCTCACATGTCCATACTGCTGACCTCTGTTTGTCTCTGACTGATTCCTTCTTAATGTTTCCTCCTGTAGATGAAGATGTTCGACAGGAACAGGGATGGCAGGCTGGACTTAAATGACCTGGCCAGGTACTGTTGACCTGTGTCATGTGACCAAGAGGACACTATTTTTTGGGATAAAAACAGAATTATAAATATGTTTCTAAATAAAAATCATTTTTTCTTGTTGTCTCAGAATATTGGCCCTGAAAGAGAATTTCTTACTGAAGTTTAAGATGGACGTAAGTTTTAAGAAGTTAGATGTTTTTAAATTTAATATTACAATTTTTAGCAAGAGGAAACACTTACAACTCACCTCAATCTCCCTATTTATGTCTAAAGGAGATCTATGCTTTTAGAAGTTGCATGCTAACAGTAGACTCATGTTTCATGCAAATATTGAATTCCTCATTTTAACTGTTTCATTATTCTCCATACTGTGTTTGGTCTCAGGCTTGCAGTCAGGACGACAGAAAGAGAGACTTTGAGAAGATTTTCGCTCACTATGATGTTGTAAGTTTGAATTTAGATAGGTGTTAAATGACTGACCAAACAGAGCAGGGGGGTTATACAAATTGAAAACATCAATATCCTATAAAAAAAACCTGCTTGATTACTACCTTTTATGAATATGTGGTATATTAAATTATGATGGAACAGCAACACGTTTAAAGGGTCCCTATCATGCTTTTTGACATCACTATGTAACACTTGTGCTACTATTGGCTAGCGCTCCAACACATTGTACGTGATAGACTAAGGGGCGGGACATCTCTAAGTGGTTGAGCAATAACAACAGAGCAGGCCAGCTAACCAATCAGAGCAGACTGGGCTCTGGTTTCAGACAGAGGGTGAAAAGAGGTGCTGCAGCACAGACAGTATGAGAAATATAAAGAGCTTTTTGAACATTAAAGCATGGAGACATGTCCCAGTAGAGGGAACAAATACTAATATGAACCTGAAGATGAGCATTATAGGGCCCCTTTAAAATGTTAGCCTATGAGCCGTGCTTCAAATTGGTTTTCAGCCATCACATTTCTTTTTTTATTTGATAAAATCACAGAGAAGCTCATCTAAAGACCATTAGTAATTCAGGTTATCCATCTGTCTGTCCATACTTTGTGGGATTTCCTTTACATTTGGCACATATGTCCACCTGGATTTATGGATAAACTGATTAGAATTTGATGGACAAAGGTTACTATGACCTCACAAAACACATATTTGGCCATAACTGAATAATTAATATGCCTATTATGACAGTGTGCGTGCATGCAGTGGCAATGTGGCTTACCTTGGAACCAGATGGTCAGTGGTTCAAGTCTCAAAGGTGCAACTATGGCAGCCCCTTTGATCAGACACCTTTCCAACAATGAGTTTGTGTATTTCGGGCCTAATGTGTATAGGTCCTGTTAGGTATGTGTGTAACTGTTAATCAACAACAGATTGAAACACTGAGAGAATAAAAAAGTATGCCTTCTTCTAGAGTAAGACGGGTGAGCTGGAGGGCCCTGAGGTGGATGGATTTGTCAAAGATATGATGGAGCTGGTGAAGGTGCCCTTACATTCCCTTATACAGAGCTGATACACAATGTTATTGATCAGATATCAGTCAGTGTCATTCATCAGGAGTCTTCTGACCTCTCTGTAACTCTTCCACCCCCCGACCCTCTCCTCCAGCCTAGCATCAGTGGCACAGACCTCGACAAGTTCAGGAAAGCTCTGATGGGTCACTGCGACATCAATGGAGACGGAAAGATCCAGAAGAACGAGCTGGCTCTCTGCCTCGGCCTCAAACTCAGCTAACAGACCCCCACAACGTTCACACATTTTTCTTTCTTTCCTCTATCCTTCTTTCCATCTTCCTTCTCTCTATGTACAGTACAAATGTGTGTTAAATGTGGAGCATTGAGTTGGGACATAAAAATAGTTTATTTTCTTTGTAATGTAAAAAATAATGAAACATTGTTTGAATTACATTTTTGTGAAACGAGTATCATGAATGATGGCTAATAAAATAGTTTGTGTCTTTGTCAGCTGTGTCTCTCTTTACTGAAACCATAAGTGTGCTACAAAAAGTGCTTTCAGTCACTGCAGGTGACTTTTATAGTGTCCTATAATCAATGGCTGCTTGGAGGAAAGAACATTTACAGTATTTGAGACTAATTATGTGCTTTGGAAAATTATAAGCAGTAATATAAAATATGTGGTTTTCAATAAGCCCCCTAACACATATTTTTTTTTAAGTAATCATACAGTGGTAAAAGGTCCCATAAGATCGCTCAACTTCAGTGGAAGAGAACAATATCTTATTTGCAGTGGAACATATATATAAATTAAATCTTAAACATATGTTAATATGTATACATATGTGTTTGATTTGAATACAGCTTGTCATTTCATAGTGTTTTAAGATCAAAAGCTTACACTTTTTAGGTCTTAGTTTCTGGGTCTTACTCATACCTCTGTGGTATTGAAGGAGGAAAATTAAATCAAAACCTCAATAAACAAAAACAAAACTACTATCAAACTATTATCGCCTGTCAGGGGAATTTTGCCTAGCGGCCAGTTAAAGGTTATCATTTGGTTAAACTGACTTTTAAATCAGATCTGCTGACAGAATGAAATGTGTCAAATTAGCTAAAGTGTGAACACCTGCCCAGGTTGCCAGAGGGCGGAGTTCCCAAGCTGATTCCAATGACTTCATCAGTGCGATGATTGGTCAGCTCATATACCAACACTTTAAAAGCAGCACTGTCTTTGCAGCAGTCATGAATCTGGAACAATAGATTATTTTTGTATTTGCTGCACACCGCTTACAGACTGTTTGGTTTCAGGTTTACACCAAAAATGTATTTTGAATTGTGTGTGAGGTAAGATATTCTTATTTTGGCAGATTTCTTATATTTATTCTACTTAACTGTTTTTGGTTGGCTCATGTTTAATTCCTCTTTTCTTAGAGTTCTTGTGCTCTCACTCTTGATTTTTGGGCAGCAAGCAAAGGGTAAGGATTTACGGTTCACAAGCTGCAGTTGAAATGTATAATTTTCCTATAAGGCTGTCTTTTAAAAAATGTGTTCTCCTTTTAGCACTCAGCTACAGAAGTGGAGGCTCCAGTGGCATTACACCTCACTTTGATTTTTCAAGAGTTCTTAAACCTGCTTCCACTTCCAGTGATGATAGTTCAGCACAGCCTGAGAGGGTTTTGGGTAGTTATTCACCCTTTCATGCTGATGGGGCTTTATCTGAGACTCTGAAGCCAGCTGCTGCACCAAGTGCAAGAGGTTATAGTGGCTCTCATGGTAGGCAAGTAGATGGTTACAGTCCTGAGGGAAGTGTTTCTAGTTACGGGCCAAGCCAACCAATAATTAGTAAACCAAACCAACTACCTCAAGCTAATCCTAGTGCAAATGGTGTCCTTCCAACCAAAGGTGCCCAGTGGGCTTTCCCTTTGCCCCATAATCCAAACTCTTTTCAGTCTGGCATTGCTTCAAGTTCTGCACTTGTGATGCACTCTGGTCCCTACTCTGCAGTGCCATCCAAGCCCCAGCAGCCCAAAAACCTTCCAAAGCCCCAGCAGGCCCGCTACAAGCCTAAGCCCCACCAGCCCAAACCTCAGCAGGCCGCCAACCCTTCAAATCCCCTGCAGTCTTGGTACCGACCCAAACCTCAGCAGGATGCAAATCCTTCAATTCCTCAGCAGGCCAAGCCCTACCAGCCCTCCTACCCTTTGAAACTTCAGCAGGCCACAAACTCTTCAAATCCCCTGCAGTCTAGGTACCGACCTAAACCCCAGCAGACCAAGGCCAACCAGCCTTCCAACCCTTCAAGTCCCCTGCAGTCTAGGTACCGGCCAAAACCCCAGCATCCTGCCTACCCTTCAAATCCTCAGCAGGCCAAGCCTCAGCAGGCCGAACCCCTGCAAGGGGTGCTCCAAAGTAAAGCTGGCATGTGGGACATTCCTTCCGAAGTAAGTGTTGCTTCTGGCTCTAATGTGCAGGGCAAGCCCTACCAGCCAGCATACCCTTTGAATCCCCAGCGGGCTACCAACCCTTCAAGTTCCCTGCAGTCTAGGTACCGGCCAAAACCCCAGCAGCCTTCCTACCCTTCAAATCCCCTGCAGTCTAGGTACCTGCCAAAACCCCAGCATCCTGCCTACCCTTCAAATCCTCAGCAGGCCGAACCCCTGCAAGGGGTGCTCCAAAGTAAAGCTGGCATGTGGGACATTCCTTCCGAAGTAAGTGTTGCTTCTGGCTCTAATGTGCAGGCCAAGCCCTACCAGCCAGCATACCCTTTGAATCCCCAGCGGGCTACCAACCCTTCAAATCCCCTGCAGTCTAGGTACCGGCCAAAACCCCAGCATCCTGCCTACCCTTCAAATCCCCTGCAGTCTAGGTACCGGCCAAAACCCCAGCATCCTGCCTACCCTTCAAATCCTCAGCAGGCCAAGCCTCAGCAGGCCGAACCCTTGCAAGGGGTGCTCCAAAGTAAAGCTGGCATGTGGGACATTCCTTCCGAAGTAAGTGTTGCTTCTGGCTCTAATGTGCAGGCCAAGCCCTACCAGCCAGCATACCCTTTGAATCTCCAGTGGGCTACCAACCCTTCAAGTTCCCTGCAGTCTAGGTACCGGCCAAAACCCCAGCAGCCTTCCTACCCTTCAAATCCCCTGCAGTCTAGGTACCGGCCAAAACCCCAGCATCCTGCCTACCCTTCAAATCCTCAGCAGGCCGAACCCCTGCAAGGGGTGCTCCAAAGTAAAGCTGGCATGTGGGACATTCCTTCCGAAGTAAGTGTTGCTTCTGGCTCTAATGTGCAGGCCAAGCCCTACCAGCCAGCATACCCTTTGAATCCCCAGCGGGCTACCAACCCTTCAAATCCCCTGCAGTCTAGGTACCGGCCAAAACCCCAGCATCCTGCCTACCCTTCAAATCCCCTGCAGTCTAGGTACCGGCCAAAACCCCAGCATCCTGCCTACCCTTCAAATCCTCAGCAGGCCGAACCCTTGCAAGGGGTGCTCCAAAGTAAAGCTGGCATGTGGGACATTCCTTCCGAAGTAAGTGTTGCTTCTGGCTCTAATGTGCAGGCCAAGCCCTACCAGCCAGCATACCCTTTGAATCTCGAGTGGGCTACCAACCCTTCAAGTTCCCTGCAGTCTAGGTACCGGCCAAAACCCCAGCAGCCTTCCTACCCTTCAAATCCCCTGCAGTCTAGGTACCGGCCAAAACCCCAGCATCCTGCCTACCCTTCAAATCCTCAGCAGGCCGAACCCCTGCAAGGGGTGCTCCAAAGTAAAGCTGGCATGTGGGACATTCCTTCCGAAGGAAGTGTTGCTTCTGGCTCTAATGTGCAGGCCAAGCCCTACCAGACAGCATACCCTTTGAATCCCCAGCGGGCTACGTACCGGCCAAAACCCCAGCATCCTGCCTACCCTTCAAATCCTCAGCAGGCCAAGCCTCAGCAGGCCGAACCCCTGCAAGGGGTGCTCCAAAGTAAAGCTGGCATGTGGGACATTCCTTCCGAAGGAAGTGTTGCTTCTGGCTCTAATGTGCAGGCCCACTGACTCAAACTCGCACTTGAATGTTGACCCAAGAAATTCCAATGTCATTCCTGTACAAGCCCAGGTGGCAACAGCAACTGGTGCCAGTGTAGAACAGACATCATTGACCTTCCTAACTGTAAGTTGGTTTAACTTGAAGATTGCTACAATGTAGTAAGGGAAATGCTTTGCAAATGTTCTAAATTGTATTTTCTGTTCTCAGGTTCCTGGACTTGCCTGGAAGCAGTCTGAACTGGCATCAACTTTGAATTTAATAAAATAATTGGAACACACACTCTTTGGATGTTCTTTGAAACTGTACTTGTGCTGTGCTGTAGACAGTGCTGCACCCTTACTTCCTGAACATGTCCACAACCACTTGCTTGTTTCCTTTGAACTTCAGGGGTTTGTTTTCCTGGCTAGGTACAATAACATTGTGAACAGCAGCTCACAGTAATGTGTTTGCAAATATGTATTGACAGCAAGTTTAAAAGACTTGACTAAGAATGTTCTTCACTAAACATTTTAAAGGCTGAGAACTTTCAAGGATGAGTGTCCAACATTATTTCAAAGTGTCAGACTCTGTGGTTCCTAATGAGGTTTATTGGACTACACATGACAAACTTGTATCACTTAAAACAATATCTTCAGAAACATTGCAGTTTATGCTTTATTCCATGCTGCTGAATTGATTGTCATATAATGCATATGTTTGTATTTCGGGCCTAATGTGTATAGGTCCGGTTAGGCATGTGTGTAACTTAACAACAGATTTAAAAACTGAGAGAATAAAAAAAGTATGCCTTCTAGAGTAAGATGGGTGAGCTGGAGGGCCCTGAGGTGGATGGATTTGTCAAATATATGATGGAGCTGGTGAAGGTGCCCTTAGATTCCCTTATACAGAGCTGATACACAATGTTATTGATCAGATATCAGTCAAGTGTCATTCATCAGGAGTCTTCTGACCTCTCTCTAACTCTACCACCCCCCCGACCCTCTCCTCCAACCCAGCATCAGTGGCACAGACCTGGACAAGTTCAGGAAAGCTCTGATGGGTCACCGCGACATCAACGGAGACGGAAAGATCCAGAAGAACGAGCTGGCTCTCTGCCTCGGCCTCAAACTCAGCTAACAGACCCCCACAACGTTCACACATTTTTCTTTCTGTCCTCTATCCTTCTTTCCATCTTCCTTCTCTCTATGTACAGTTCTAAATTCTTTTATTTTTCAATTTAAATGTATCTTTTACTATACTCTTTTACTCCCATCTGAATCATTACTTCTCCCTCCCTATTTTAGCAGTATCGCCTCAATTATTGGCTCTCAGTTGGTGTTTTAAGAATGATGTATCTACATGTTTTATGCTCGTGTATATATATATAATGTTATATATTGCTAAAATATTTATATTAATATCTAGCAATTGAAATAATGGTAAATGTGTAGCCTTGAGTTGGGACATAAAAATTGTTTGTTTTCTTTGTAATGTAAAAAATAATGAAACATTGTTTGAATTACATTTTTTGTGAAACGAGTATCATGAATGATGGCTAATCAAATAGTTTGTGTCTGTCAGCTGTGTCTCTCTTTACTGAAACCATAAGTGTGCTACAAAAAGTGCTTTCAGTCACTGCAGGTGACTTTTATGGCGCATTTCCACTACACGGTCGGCCTCGGCCACACTCGGTACGGCTCGGTACGGCTTGGCCGCGTTGGGCCTTAACAGGGCCGACTCACTTCATGCTGCGCTTCCATTACAGTTTAGGAACTGGGGTAGTTACTATAGTAACGCAGTGTAGGCGGAGCCGTGACGTCATCTTCAATGAGAAATCCAGAAACACAACACAGCCGTTAGCTGTGAGCACTCAGAGCTCACAGCTCCTTATATATGTTCAGAAACTCGACAAAAGTTAAACAAGTACACACCACAGACTGCCTGTGTCATGGTGAATACAGTCGCTGCTTTATTTATGTCTGTATAGGCCGTTGTGAGTGTGGACGGTCGGGGCATATACTGCGTTAGCTTAGCCAATCTCCATCTAGAAAAACACGAATTTTAAAAGGTTTTTCGCCTGCCGTCTGTCTGCAGACTTGACAAAGCATTAATTCATGGTTTTTACTAACCGGTATCAGTATGTTGTTACTTCGGCATCATTTTGAAACGTGTATTACAATTAAATCACGGTCAAATATGTCCATCTTGTTGTAGTTCTAGCCCTCTTGCCAGCGCTCCTCTCTCTAGTTTAGCATACTCAGCCCGACTCAGCCCTGCTTGTTGGCCCCGATAGAACCACAATTTTCTAGGGCCAGAAAAGAGGGGAAAAAGTGGCCCCGCGCCGTGCTGCGCCGGAACGAGGCCTAGTGGAAGCACAACCAAAAAAGGGGACGGCACGACACGGCACGCTTAAAGCGAGCTACGCGCTGCAATGGAAATGCGCCATTATAGTGTCCTATAATCAATGGCTGCTTGGAGGAAAGACCATTTACAGTATTTGAGTCTAATTATTTGCTTTGGAAAATTATAAGCAGTAATATAAAATGTGGTTTTCAATAAGCCAAAACACTTCCAAAATCATTTTCAAATCACAAGCATATTTGTTTTTAAGTAATCATACAGTGGTAAAAGGTCCAATAAGATCTCTCAACTTCAGTGGAAGAGAACAATATCTTATTTGCAGTGGAACATATATATAAATTAAATCTTAAACATATGTTAATATGTATACATATGTGTTTGATTTGAATACAGCTTGTCATTTCATAGTGTTTTAAGATCAAAAGCTTACACTTTTTAGGTCTTAGTTTCTGGGTCTTACTCATACCTCTGTGGTATTGAAGGAGGAAAATTCAATCAAAACCTCAATAAACAAAAACAAAACTACTATCAAACTATTATCGCCTGTCAGGGGAATTTTGCCTAGCGGCCAGGTAAAGGTTATCATTTGGTTAAACTGACTGAAATGTTGAAATGTGTCAAATTAGCTAAAGTGTGAACACCTGCCCAGGTTGCCAGAGGGCGGAGTTCCCAAGCTGATTCCAATGACTTCATCAGTGCGATGATTGGTCAGCTCATGCACCGACACTTTAAAAGGACCACTGTCTTTGCAGCAGTCATGAATCTGGAACAATAGATTATTTTTGTATTTGCTGCACACCGCTTACGGACTGTTAGGTTTCAGTTTTACAACAAAAATGTATTTTGAATTGTGTGTGAGGTAAGATATTCTTATTTTGGCAGATTTCTTATATTTATTCTACTTAACTGTTTTTGGTTGGCTCATGTTTAATTCCTCTTTTCTTAGAGTTCTTGTGCTCTCACTCTTGATTTTTGGGCAGCAAGCAAAGGGTAAGGATTTATGGTTCACAAGCTGCAGTTGAAATGTATAATTTTCCTATAAGGCTGTCTTTTAAAAAAATGTGTTTTCCTTTAGCACTCAGCTACAGAAGTGGAGGCCCCAGTGGCATTACACCTCACTTTGATTTTTCAAGAAGTCTTAAACCTGCTTCCACTTCCAATGATGATAGTTCAGCACAGCCTGAGAGGGTTTTGGGTAGTTATTCACCCTTTCATGCTGATGGGGCTTTATCTGAGACTCTGAAGCCAGCTGCTGCACCAAGTGCAAGAGGTTATAGTGGCTCTCATGGTAGGCAAGTAGATGGTTACAGTCCTGAGGGAAGTGTTTCTAGTTACGGGCCAAGCCAACCAATAATTCGTAAACCAAACCAACTACCTCAAGCTAACCCTAGTGCAAATGGTGTCCTTCCAACCAAAGCTGCGCCGTGGGCTTTCCCTTTGCCCCATAATCCAAACTCTTTTCAGTCTGGTATTGCTTCAAGTTCTGCAATTGTGATGCACTCTGGTCCCTACTCTGCAGTGCCATCCAAGCCCCCAGCAACCCAAAAACCTTCCAAAGCCCCAGCAGGCCCGCTACAAGCCTAAGCCCCACCAGCCCAAACCTCAGCAGGCCGCCAACCCTTCAAATCCCCTGCAGTCTTGGTACAGACCCAAACCTCAGCAGGCTGCAAATCCTTCAATTCCTCAGCAGGCCAAGCCCTACCAGCCCTCCTACCCTTTGAAACTCCAGCAGGCCACAAACCCTTCAAATCCCCTGCAGTCTAGGTACCGGCCCAAACCCCAGCAGACCAAGCCCAACCAGCCTTCCTACACTTCAAACCCTCAGCAGGCCAAGCCCTACCAGCGTTCCTACCCTTCAAATCCTCAGCAGGCTAAGCCCGACCAGCGTTCCTACCCTTCAAATCCTCAGCAGGCTAAGCCCGACCAGCCTTCCTACACTTCAAATCCTCAGCAGGCCAAGCCCTACCAGCGTTCCTACCCTTCAAATCCTCAGCAGGCCAAGCCCTACCAGCGTTCCTACCCTTCAAATCCTCAGCAGGCCAAGCCCTACCAGCGTTCCTACCCTTCAAATCCTCAGCAGGCCAAGCCCGACCAGCCTTCCTACACTTCAAATCCTCAGCAGGCCAAGCCCGACCAGCGTTCCTACCCTTCAAATCCTCAGCAGGCCAAGCCCTACCAGCGTTCCTACCCTTCAAATCCTCAGCAGGCCAAGCCCTACCAGCCATTATACCCTTCAAACCCTCAGCAGCCCAAACCTCAGCAGGCCAAACCCCTGCAAGGGGTGCTCCAAAGTAAAGCTGGCATGTGGGACATTCCTTTCGAAGGAAGTGTTGCTTCTGGCTCTGATGTGCAGCCCACTGACTCAAACTCGCACTTGAATGTTGACCCAAGAAGTTTGAGAGAAATTCTAATGTCATTCCTGTACCAGCCCAGGTGGCAACAGCAACTGGTGCCAGTGTAGAACAGACATCATTGACCTTCCTAACTGTAAGTTGGTTTAACTTAAAGATTGCTACAATGAAGTAAGGGAAATGCTTTGCAAATGTTCTAAATTGTATTTTCTGTTCTCAGGTTCCTGGACTTGCCTGGAAGCAGTCTGAACTGGCATCAACTTTGAATTTAATAAAATAATTGGAACACACACTCTTTGGATGTTCTTTGAAACTGTACTTGTGCTGTGCTGTAGACAGTGCTGCACCCTTACTTCCTGAACATGTCCACAACCACTTGCTTGTTTCCTTTGAACTTCAGGGGTTTGTTTTCCTGGCTAGGTACAATAACATTGTGAACAGCAGCTCACAGTAATGTGTTTGCAAATATGTATTGACGGCAAGTTTAAAAGACTTGACTAAGAATGTTCTTCACTAAACATTTTAAAGGCTGAGAACTTTCAAGGATGAGTGTCCAACATTATTTCAAAGTGTCAGACTCTGTGGTTCCTAATGAGGTTTATTGGACTACACATGACAAACTTGTATCACTTAAAACAATATCTTCAGAAACATTGCAGTTTATGCTTTATTCCATGCTGCTGAATTGATTGTCATATAATGCATATGTTTGTATTTCGGGCCTAATGTGTATAGGTCCGGTTAGGCATGTGTGTAACTGTTAACAACAGATTTAAAAACTGAGAGAATAAAAAAAGTATGCCTTCTAGAGTAAGACGGGTGAGCTGGAGGGCCCTGAGGTGAATGGATTTGTCAAATATATGATGGTGCTGGTGAAGGTGCCCTTAGATTCCCTTATACAGAGCTGATACACAATGTTATTGATCAGATATCAGTCAAGTGTCATTCATCAGGAGTCTTCTGACCTCTCTCTAACACTACCACCCCCCGACCCTCTCCTCCAGCCCAGCATCAGTGGCACAGACCTGGACAAGTTCAGGAAAGCTCTGATGGGTCACCGCGACATCAACGGAGACGGAAAGATCCAGAAGAACGAGCTGGCTCTCTGCCTCGGCCTCAAACTCAGCTAACAGACCCCCACAACGTTCACACATTTTTCTTTCTGTCCTCTATCCTTCTTTCCATCTTCCTTCTCTCTATGTACAGTTCTAAATTATTTTATTTTTCAATTTAAATGTGTATCTTTTACTATACTCTTTTACTCCCGTGTGAATCATTACTTCTCCCTCCCTATTTTAGCAGTATCGCCTCAATTATTGGCTCTCAGTTGGTGTTTTAAGAATGATGTATCTACATGTTTTATGCTCGTGTATATATATATAATGTTATATATTGCTAAACTATTTATATTAATATCTAGCAATTGAAATAATGGTAAATGTGTAGCCTTGAGTTGGGACATAAAAATTGTTTGTTTTCTTTGTAATGTAAAAAATAATGAAACATTGTTTGAATTACATTTTTTGTGAAACGAGTATCATGAATGATGGCTAATCAAATAGTTTGTGTCTGTCAGCTGTGTCTCTCTTTACTGAAACCATAAGTGTGCTACAAAAAGTGCTTTCAGTCACTGCAGGTGACTTTTATAGTGTCCTATAATCAATGGCTGCTTGGAGGAAAGAACATTTACAGTATTTGAGTCTAATTATTTGCTTTGGAAAATTATAAGCAGTAATATAAAATGTGGTTTTCAATAAGCCAAAACACTTCCAAAATCATTTTCAAATCACAAGCATATTTGTTTTTAAGTAATCATACAGTGGTAAAAGGTCCCATAAGATCTCTCAACTTCAGTGGAAGAGAACAATATCTTATTTGCAGTGGAACATATATATAAATTAAATCTTCAACATATGTTAATATGTATACATATGTGTTTGATTTGAATACAGCTTGTCATTTCATAGTGTTTTAAGATCAAAAGCTTACACTTTTTAGGTCTTAGTTTCTGGGTCTTACTCATACCTCTGTGGTATTGAAGGAGGAAAATTCAATCAAAACCTCAATAAACAAAAACAAAACTACTATCAAACTATTATCGCCTGTCAGGGGAATTTTGCCTAGCGGCCAGGTAAAGGTTATCATTTGGTTAAACTGACTGAAATGTTGAAATGTGTCAAATTAGCTAAAGTGTGAACACCTGCCCAGGTTGCCAGAGGGCGGAGTTCCCAAGCTGATTCCAATGACTTCATCAGTGCAATGATTGGTCAGCTCATGCACCGACACTTTAAAAGGACCACTGTCTTTGCAGCAGTCATGAATCTGGAACAATAGATTATTTTTGTATTTGCTGCACACCGCTTACAGACTGTTTGGTTTCAGCTTTACACCAAAAATGTATTTTGAATTGTGTGTGAGGTAAGATATTCTTATTTTGGCAGATTTCTTATATTTATTCTACTTAACTGTTTTTGGTTGGCTCATGTTTAATTCCTCTTTTCTTAGAGTTCTTGTGCTCTCACTCTTGATTTTTGGGCAGCAAGCAAAGGGTAAGGATTTATGGTTCACAAGCTGCAGTTGAAATGTATAATTTTCCTATAAGGCTGTCTTTTAAAAAATGTGTTCTCCTTTTAGCACTCAGCTACAGAAGTGGAGGCTCCAGTGGCATTACACCTCACTTTGATTTTTCAAGAGTTCTTAAACCTGCTTCCACTTCCAGTGATGATAGTTCAGCACAGCCTGAGAGGGTTTTGGGTAGTTATTCACCCTTTCATGCTGATGGGGCTTTATCTGAGACTCTGAAGCAAGCTGCTGCACCAAGTGCAAGAGGTTATAGTGGCTCTCATGGTAGGCAAGTAGATGGTTACAGTCCTGAGGGAAGTGTTTCTAGTTACGGGCCAAGCCAACCAATAATTCGTAAACCAAACCAACTACCTCAAGTTAACCCTAGTGCAAATGGTGTCCTTCCAACCAAAGCTGCGCCGTGGGCTTTCCCTTTGCCCCATAATCCAAACTCTTTTCAGTCTGGTATTGCTTCAAGTTCTGCAATTGTGATGCACTCTGGTCCCTACTCTGCAGTGCCATCCAAGCCCCAGCAGCCCAAAAACCTTCCAAAGCCCCACCAGCCCAAACCTCAGCAGGCCGCCAACCCTTCAAATCCCCTGCAGTCTTGGTACCGACCCAAACCTCAGCAGGATGCAAATCCTTCAATTCCTCAGCAGGCCAAGCCCTACCAGCCCTCCTACCCTTTGAAACTTCAGCAGGCCACAAACTCTTCAAATCCCCTGCAGTCTAGGTACCGGCCTAAACCCCAGCAGACCAAGGCCAACCAGCCTTCCTACCCTTCAAATCCTCAGCAGGCTACCAACCCTTCAAGTCCCCTGCAGTCTAGGTACCGGCCAAAACCCCAGCAGCCTTCCTACCCTTCAAATCCCCTGCAGTCTAGGTACCAGCCAAAACCCCAGCATCCTGCCTACCCTTCAAATCCTCAGCAGGCCGAACCCCTGCAAGGGGTGCTCCAAAGTAAAGCTGGCATGTGGGACATTCCTTCCGAAGTAAGTGTTGCTTCTGGCTCTAATGTGCAGGCCAAGCCCTACCAGCCAGCATACCCTTTGAATCCCCAGCGGGCTACCAACCCTTCAAATCCCCTGCAGTCTAGGTACCGGCCAAAACCCCAGCATCCTGCCTACCCTTCAAATCCCCTGCAGTCTAGGTACCGGCCAAAACCCCAGCATCCTGCCTACCCTTCAAATCCTCAGCAGGCCAAGCCTCAGCAGGCCGAACCCTTGCAAGGGGTGCTCCAAAGTAAAGCTGGCATGTGGGACATTCCTTCCGAAGTAAGTGTTGCTTCTGGCTCTAATGTGCAGGCCAAGCCCTACCAGCCAGCATACCCTTTGAATCCCCAGTGGGCTACCAACCCTTCAAGTTCCCTGCAGTCTAGGTACCGGCCAAAACCCCAGCAGCCTTCCTACCCTTCAAATCCCCTGCAGTCTAGGTACTGGCCAAAACCCCAGCATCCTGCCTACCCTTCAAATCCTCAGCAGGCCGAACCCCTGCAAGGGGTGCTCCAAAGTAAAGCTGGCATGTGGGACATTCCTTCCGAAGGAAGTGTTGCTTCTGGCTCTAATGTGCAGGCCAAGCCCTACCAGCCAGCATACCCTTTGAATCCCCAGCGGGCTACCAACCCTTCAAGTCCCCTGCAGTCTAGGTACCGGCCAAAACCCCAGCATCCTGCCTACCCTTCAAATCCTCAGCAGGCCGAACCCCTGCAAGGGGTGCTCCAAAGTAAAGCTGGCATGTGGGACATTCCTTCCGAAGGAAGTGTTGCTTCTGGCTCTAATGTGCAGGCCAAGCCCTACCAGCCAGCATACCCTTTGAATCCCCTGCGGGCTACCAACCCTTCAAGTCCCCTGCAGTCTAGGTACCGGCCAAAACCCCAGCAGCCTTCCTACCCTTCAAATCCCCTGCAGTCTAGGTACCGGCCAAAACCCCAGCATCCTGCCTACCCTTCAAATCCTCAGCAGGCCAAGCCTCAGCAGGCCGAACCCCTGCAAGGGGTGCTCCAAAGTAAAGCTGGCATGTGGGACATTCCTTCTGAAGGAAGTGTTGCTTCTGGTTCTAATGTGCAGGCCAAGCCCTACCAGCCAGCATACCCTTTGAATCCCCAGCGGGCTACCAACCCTTCAAGTCCCCTGCAGTCTACGTACCAGCCCAAACCCCAGCATCCTACCTACCCTTCAAACCCTCAGCAGCCCAAACCTCAGCAGACCAAACCCCTGCAAGGGGTGCTCCAAAGTAAAGCTGGCATGTGGGACATTCCTTCCGAAGGAAGTGTTGCTTCTGGCTCTAATGTGCAGGCCAAGCCCTACCAGCCAGCATACCCTTTGAATCCCCTGCGGGCTACCAACCCTTCAAGTCCCCTGCAGTCTAGGTACCGGCCAAAACCCCAGCAGCCTTCCTACCCTTCAAATCCCCTGCAGTCTACGTACCGGCCAAAACCCCAGCATCCTGCCTACCCTTCAAATCCTCAGCAGGCCAAGCCTCAGCAGGCCGAACCCCTGCAAGGGGTGCTCCAAAGTAAAGCTGGCATGTGGGACATTCCTTCCGAAGGAAGTGTTGCTTCTGGCTCTAATGTGCAGGCCAAGCCCTACCAGCCAGCATACCCTTTGAATCCCCAGCGGGCTACCAACACTTCAAGTCCCCTGCAGTCTAGGTACCGGCCAAAACCCCAGCAGCCTTCCTACCCTTCAAATCCCCTGCAGTCTACGTACCGGCCAAAACCCCAGCATCCTGCCTACCCTTCAAATCCTCAGCAGGCCGAACCCCTGCAAGTGGTGCTCCAAAGTAAAGCTGGCATGTGGGACATTCCTTCTGAAGGAAGTGTTGCTTCTGGTTCTAATATGCAGGCCAAGCCCTACCAGCCAGCATACCCTTTGAATCCCCAGCGGGCTACCATCCTTTCAAGTCCCCTGCAGTCTACGTACCAGCCCAAACCTCAGCATCCTACCTACCCTTCAAACCCTCAGCAGCCCAAACCTCAGCAGACCAAACCCCTGCAAGGGGTGCTCCAAAGTAAAGCTGGCATGTGGGACATTCCTTCCCAAGGAAGTGTTGCTTCTGGCTCTAATGTGCAGGCCACTGACTCAAACTCGCACTTGAATGTTGACCCAAGAAATTCCAATGTCATTCCTGTACCAGCCCAGGTGGCAACAGCAACTGGTGCCAGTGTAGAACAGACATCATTGACCTTCCTAACTGTAAGTTGGTTTAACTTAAAGATTGCTACAATGAAGTAAGGGAAATGCTTTGCAAATGTTCTAAATTGTATTTTCTGTTCTCAGGTTCCTGGACTTGCCTGGAAGCAGTCTGAACTGGCATCAACTTTGAATTTAATAAAATAATTGGAACACACACTCTTTGGATGTTCTTTGAAACTGTACTTGTGCTGTGCTGTAGACAGTGCTGCACCCTTACTTCCTGAACATGTCCACAACCACTTGCTTGTTTCCTTTGAACTTCAGGGGTTTGTTTTCCTGGCTAGGTACAATAACATTGTGAACAGCAGCTCACAGTAATGTGTTTGCAAATATGTATTGACAGCAAGTTTAAAAGACTTGACTAAGAATGTTCTTCACTTAACATTTGAAAGGCTGAGAACTTTCAAGGATGAGTGTCCAACATTATTTCAAAGTGTCAGACTCTGTGGTTCCTAATGAGGTTTATTGGACTACACATGACAAACTTGTATCACTTAAAACAATATCTTCAGAAACATTGCAGTTTATGCTTTATTCCATGCTGCTGAATTGATTGTCATATAATGCATATGTTTGTGTATTTCTGGCCTAATGTGTATAGGTCCTGTTAGGCATGTGTGTAACTGTTAACAACAGATTGAAAAACTGAGAGAATAAAAAAAGTATGCCTTCTAGAGTAAGACGGGTGAGCTGGAGGGCCCTGAGGTGGATGGATTTGTCAAAGATATGATGGAGCTGGTGAAGGTGCCCTTAGATTCCCTTATACAGAGCTGATACACAATGTTATTGATCAGATATCAGTCAAGTGTCATTCATCAGGAGTCTTCTGACCTCTCTCTAACTCTACCACCCCCCGACCCTCTCCTCCAACCCAGCATCAGTGGCACAGACCTGGACAAGTTCAGGAAAGCTCTGATGGGTCACCGCGACATCAACGGAGACGGAAAGATCCAGAAGAACGAGCTGGCTCTCTGCCTCGGCCTCAAACTCAGCTAACAGACCCCCACAACGTTCACACATTTTTCTTTCTGTCCTCTATCCTTCTTTCCATCTTCCTTCTCTCTATGTACAGTTCTAAATTCTTTTATTTTTCAATTTAAATGTGTATCTTTTACTATACTCTTTTACTCCCGTGTGAATCATTACTTCTCCCTCCCTATTTTAGCAGTATCGCCTCAATTATTGGCTCTCAGTTGGTGTTTTAAGAATGATGTATCTACATGTTTTATGCTCGTGTGTATATATATAATGTTATATATTGCTAAAATATTTATATTAATATCTAGCAATTGAAATAATGGTAAATGTGTAGCCTTGAGTTGGGACATAAAAATCGTTTGTTTTCTTTGTAATGTAAAAAATAATGAAACATTGTTTGAATTACATTTTTTGTGAAACGAGTATCATGAATGATGGCTAATCAAATAGTTTGTGTCTGTCAGCTGTGTCTCTCTTTACTGAAACCATAAGTGTGCTACAAAAAGTGCTTTCAGTCACTGCAGGTGACTTTTATAGTGTCCTATAATCAATGGCTGCTTGGAGGAAAGAACATTTACAGTATTTGAGTCTAATTATTTGCTTTGGAAAATTATAAGCAGTAATATAAAATATGTGGTTTTCAATAAGCCAAAACACTTCCAAAATCATTTTCAAATCACAAGCATATTTGTTTTTAAGTAATCATACAGTGGTAAAAGGTCCCATAAGATCTCTCAACTTCAGTGGAAGAGAACAATATCTTATTTGCAGTGGAACATATATATAAATTAAATCTTAAACATATGTTAATATGTATACATACGTGTTTGATTTTAATACAGCTTGTCATTTCATAGTGTTTTAAGATCAAAAGCTTACACTTTTTAGGTCTTAGTTTCTGGGTCTTACTCATACCTCTGTGGTATTGAAGGAGGAAAATTCAATCAAAACCTCAATAAACAAAAACAAAACTACTATCAAACTATTATCGCCTGTCAGGGGAATTTTGCCTAGCGGCCAGGTAAAGGTTATCATTTGGTTAAACTGACTGAAATGTTGAAATGTGTCAAATTAGCTAAAGTGTGAACACCTGCCCAGGTTGCCAGAGGGCGGAGTTCCCAAGCTGATTCCAATGACTTCATCAGTGCGATGATTGGTCAGCTCATGCACCGACACTTTAAAAGGACCACTGTCTTTGCAGCAGTCATGAATCTGGAACAATAGATTATTTTTGTATTTGCTGCACACCGCTTACAGACTGTTTGGTTTCAGTTTTACAACAAAAATGTATTTTGAATTGTGTGTGAGGTAAGATATTCTTATTTTGGCAGATTTCTTATATTTATTCTACTTAACTGTTTTTGGTTGGCTCATGTTTAATTCCTCTTTTCTTAGAGTTCTTGTGCTCTCACTCTTGATTTTTGGGCAGCAAGCAAAGGGTAAGGATTTATGGTTCACAAGCTGCAGTTGAAATGTATAATTTTCCTATAAGGCTGTCTTTTAAAAATGTGTTCTCCTTTTAGCACTCAGCTACAGAAGTGGAGGCTCCAGTGGCATTACACCTCACTTTGATTTTTCAAGAGTTCTTAAACCTGCTTCCACTTCCAGTGATGATAGTTCAGCACAGCCTGAGAGGGTTTTGGGTAGTTATTCACCCTTTCATGCTGATGGGGCTTTATCTGAGACTCTGAAGCAAGCTGCTGCACCAAGTGCAAGAGGTTATAGTGGCTCTCATGGTAGGCAAGTAGATGGTTACAGTCCTGAGGGAAGTGTTTCTAGTTACGGGCCAAGCCAACCAATAATTCGTAAACCAAACCAACTACCTCAAGTTAACCCTAGTGCAAATGGTGTCCTTCCAACCAAAGCTGCGCCGTGGGCTTTCCCTTTGCCCCATAATCCAAACTCTTTTCAGTCTGGTATTGCTTCAAGTTCTGCAATTGTGATGCACTCTGGTCCCTACTCTGCAGTGCCATCCAAGCCCCAGCAGCCCAAAAACCTTCCAAAGCCCCAGCAGGCCCGCTACAAGCCTAAGCCCCACCAGCCCAAACCTCAGCAGGCCGCCAACCCTTCAAATCCCCTGCAGTCTTGGTACAGACCCAAACCTCAGCAGGCTGCAAATCCTTCAATTCCTCAGCAGGCCAAGCCCTACCAGCCCTCCTACCCTTTGAAACTCCAGCAGGCCACAAACCCTTCAAATCCCCTGCAGTCTAGGTACCGGCCCAAACCCCAGCAGACCAAGCCCAACCAGCCTTCCTACACTTCAAACCCTCAGCAGGCCAAGCCCTACCAGCGTTCCTACCCTTCAAATCCTCAGCAGGCTAAGCCCGACCAGCGTTCCTACCCTTCAAATCCTCAGCAGGCTAAGCCCGACCAGCCTTCCTACACTTCAAATCCTCAGCAGGCCAAGCCCTACCAGCGTTCCTACCCTTCAAATCCTCAGCAGGCCAAGCCCCACCAGCGTTCCTACCCTTCAAATCCTCAGCAGGCCAAGCCCGACCAGCCTTCCTACACTTCAAATCCTCAGCAGGCCAAGCCCGACCAGCGTTCCTACCCTTCAAATCCTCAGCAGGCCAAGCCCTACCAACGTTCCTACCCTTCAAATCCTCAGCAGGCCAAGCCCTACCAGCCATTATACCCTTCAAACCCTCAGCAGCCCAAACCTCAGCAGGCCAAACCCCTGCAAGGGGTGCTCCAAAGTAAAGCTGGCATGTGGGGACATTCCTTTCGAAGGAAGTGTTGCTTCTGGCTCTAATGTGCAGCCCACTGACTCAAACTCGCACTTGAATGTTGACCCAAGAAGTTTGAGAGAAATTCCAATGTCATTCCTGTACCAGCCCAGGTGGCAACAGCAACTGGTGCCAGTGTAGAACAGACATCATTGACCTTCCTAACTGTAAGTTGGTTTAACTTAAAGATTGCTACAATGAAGTAAGGGAAATGCTTTGCAAATGTTCTAAATTGTATTTTCTGTTCTCAGGTTCCTGGACTTGCCTGGAAGCAGTCTGAACTGGCATCAACTTTGAATTTAATAAAATAATTGGAACACACACTCTTTGGATGTTCTTTGAAACTGTACTTGTGCTGTGCTGTAGACAGTGCTGCACCCTTACTTCCTGAACACAACCACTTGCTTGTTTCCTTTGAACTTCAGGGGTTTGTTTTCCTGGCTAGGTACAATAACATTGTGAACAGCAGCTCACAGTAATGTGTTTGCAAATATGTATTGACAGCAAGTTTAAAAGACTTGACTAAGAATGTTCTTCACTAAACATTTTAAAGGCTGAGAACTTTCAAGGATGAGTGTCCAACATTATTTCAAAGTGTCAGACTCTGTGGTTCCTAATGAGGTTTATTGGACTACACATGACAAACTTGTATCACTTAAAACAATATCTTCAGAAACATTGCAGTTTATGCTTTATTCCATGCTGCTGAATTGATTGTCATATAATGCATATGTTTGTATTTCGGGCCTAATGTGTATAGGTCCGGTTAGGCATGTGTGTAACTGTTAACAACAGATTTAAAAACTGAGAGAATAAAAAAAGTATGCCTTCTAGAGTAAGACGGGTGAGCTGGAGGGCCCTGAGGTGGATGGATTTGTCAAATATATGATGGTGCTGGTGAAGGTGCCCTTAGATTCCCTTATACAGAGCTGATACACAATGTTATTGATCAGATATCAGTCAAGTGTCATTCATCAGGAGTCTTCTGACCTCTCTCTAACACTACCACCCCCCGACCCTCTCCTCCAGCCCAGCATCAGTGGCACAGACCTGGACAAGTTCAGGAAAGCTCTGATGGGTCACCGCGACATCAACGGAGACGGAAAGATCCAGAAGAACGAGCTGGCTCTCTGCCTCGGCCTCAAACTCAGCTAACAGACCCCCACAACGTTCACACATTTTTCTTTCTGTCCTCTATCCTTCTTTCCATCTTCCTTCTCTCTATGTACAGTTCTAAATTATTTTATTTTTCAATTTAAATGTGTATCTTTTACTATACTCTTTTACTCCCGTCTGAATCATTACTTCTCCCTCCCTATTTTAGCAGTATCGCCTCAATTATTGGCTCTCAGTTGGTGTTTTAAGAATGATGTATCTACATGTTTTATGCTCGTGTATATATATATATAATGTTATATATTGCTAAACTATTTATATTAATATCTAGCAATTGAAATAATGGTAAATGTGTAGCCTTGAGTTGGGACATAAAAATTGTTTGTTTTCTTTGTAATGTAAAAAATAATGAAACATTGTTTGAATTACATTTTTTGTGAAACGAGTATCATGAATGATGGCTAATCAAATAGTTTGTGTCTGTCAGCTGTGTCTCTCTTTACTGAAACCATAAGTGTGCTACAAAAAGGGCTTTCAGTCACTGCAGGTGACTTTTATAGTGTCCTATAATCAATGGCTGCTTGGAGGAAAGAACATTTACAGTATTTGAGTCTAATTATTTGCTTTGGAAAATTATAAGCAGTAATATAAAATGTGGTTTTCAATAAGCCAAAACACTTCCAAAATCATTTTCAAATCACAAGCATATTTGTTTTTAAGTAATCATACAGTGGTAAAAGGTCCCATAAGATCTCTCAACTTCAGTGGAAGAGAACAATATCTTATTTGCAGTGGAACATATATATAAATTAAATCTTAAACATATGTTAATATGTATACATATGTGTTTGATTTGAATACAGCTTGTCATTTCATAGTGTTTTAAGATCAAAAGCTTACACTTTTTAGGTCTTAGTTTCTGGGTCTTACTCATACCTCTGTGGTATTGAAGGAGGAAAATTAAATCAAAACCTCAATAAACAAACACAAAACTACTATCAAACTATTATCGCCTGTCAGGGGAATTTTGCCTAGCGGCCAGTTAAAGGTTATCATTTGGTTAAACTGACTTTTAAATCAGATCTGCTGACAGAATGAAATGTGTCAAATTAGCTAAAGTGTGAACACCTGCCCAGGTTGCCAGAGGGCGGAGTTCCCAAGCTGATTCCAATGACTTCATCAGTGCGATGATTGGTCAGCTCATATACCAACACTTTAAAAGCAGCACTGTCTTTGCAGCAGTCATGAATCTGGAACAATAGATTATTTTTGTATTTGCTGCACACCGCTTACAGACTGTTTGGTTTCAGGTTTACACCAAAAATGTATTTTGAATTGTGTGTGAGGTAAGATATTCTTATTTTGGCAGATTTCTTATATTTATTCTACTTAACTGTTTTTGGTTGGCTCATGTTTAATTCCTCTTTTCTTAGAGTTCTTGTGCTCTCACTCTTGATTTTTGGGCAGCAAGCAAAGGGTAAGGATTTATGGTTCACAAGCTGCAGTTGAAATGTATAATTTTCCTATAAGGCTGTCTTTTAAAAAATGTGTTCTCCTTTTAGCACTCAGCTACAGAAGTGGAGGCTCCAGTGGCATTACACCTCACTTTGATTTTTCAAGAGTTCTTAAACCTGCTTCCACTTCCAGTGATGATAGTTCAGCACAGCCTGAGAGGGTTTTGGGTAGTTATTCACCCTTTCATGCTGATGGGGCTTTATCTGAGACTCTGAAGCCAGCTGCTGCACCAAGTGCAAGAGGTTATAGTGGCTCTCATGGTAGGCAAGTAGATGGTTACAGTCCTGAGGGAAGTGTTTCTAGTTACGGGCCAAGCCAACCAATAATTCGTAAACCAAACCAACTACCTCAAGCTAACCCTAGTGCAAATGGTGTCCTTCCAACCAAAGCTGCGCCGTGGGCTTTCCCTTTGCCCCATAATCCAAACTCTTTTCAGTCTGGTATTGCTTCAAGTTCTGCAATTGTGATGCACTCTGGTCCCTACTCTGCAGTGCCATCCAAGCCCCAGCAGCCCAAAAACCTTCCAAAGCCCCACCAGCCCAAACCTCAGCAGGCCGCCAACCCTTCAAATCCCCTGCAGTCTTGGTACCGACCCAAACCTCAGCAGGATGCAAATCCTTCAATTCCTCAGCAGGCCAAGCCCTACCAGCCCTCCTACCCTTTGAAACTTCAGCAGGCCACAAACTCTTCAAATCCCCTGCAGTCTAGGTACCGGCCTAAACCCCAGCAGACCAAGGCCAACCAGCCTTCCTACCCTTCAAATCCTCAGCAGGCTACCAACCCTTCAAGTCCCCTGCAGTCTAGGTACCGGCCAAAACCCCAGCAGCCTTCCTACCCTTCAAATCCCCTGCAGTCTAGGTACCAGCCAAAACCCCAGCATCCTGCCTACCCTTCAAATCCTCAGCAGGCCGAACCCCTGCAAGGGGTGCTCCAAAGTAAAGCTGGCATGTGGGACATTCCTTCCGAAGTAAGTGTTGCTTCTGGCTCTAATGTGCAGGCCAAGCCCTACCAGCCAGCATACCCTTTGAATCCCCAGCGGGCTACCAACCCTTCAAATCCCCTGCAGTCTAGGTACCGGCCAAAACCCCAGCATCCTGCCTACCCTTCAAATCCCCTGCAGTCTAGGTACCGGCCAAAACCCCAGCATCCTGCCTACCCTTCAAATCCTCAGCAGGCCAAGCCTCAGCAGGCCGAACCCTTGCAAGGGGTGCTCCAAAGTAAAGCTGGCATGTGGGACATTCCTTCCGAAGTAAGTGTTGCTTCTGGCTCTAATGTGCAGGCCAAGCCCTACCAGCCAGCATACCCTTTGAATCCCCAGCGGGCTACCAACCCTTCAAGTCCCCTGCAGTCTAGGTACCGGCCAAAACCCCAGCAGCCTTCCTACCCTTCAAATCCCCTGCAGTCTAGGTACCGGCCAAAACCCCAGCATCCTGCCTACCCTTCAAATCCTCAGCAGGCCAAGCCTCAGCAGGCCGAACCCCTGCAAGGGGTGCTCCAAAGTAAAGCTGGCATGTGGGACATTCCTTCCGAAGGAAGTGTTGCTTCTGGCTCTAATGTGCAGGCCAAGCCCTACCAGCCAGCATACCCTTTGAATCCCCAGCGGGCTACCAACCCTTCAAGTCCCCTGCAGTCTAGGTACCGGCCAAAACCCCAGCAGCCTTCCTACCCTTCAAATCCCCTGCAGTCTAGGTACCGGCCAAAACCCCAGCATCCTGCCTACCCTTCAAATCCTCAGCAGGCCAAGCCTCAGCAGGCCGAACCCCTGCAAGGGGTGCTCCAAAGTAAAGCTGGCATGTGGGACATTCCTTCTGAAGGAAGTGTTGCTTCTGGTTCTAATATGCAGGCCAAGCCCTACCAGCCAGCATACCCTTTGAATCCCCAGCGGGCTACCAACCTTTCAAGTCCCCTGCAGTCTACGTACCAGCCCAAACCTCAGCATCCTACCTACCCTTCAAACCCTCAGCAGCCCAAACCTCAGCAGACCAAACCCCTGCAAGGGGTGCTCCAAAGTAAAGCTGGCATGTGGGACATTCCTTCCCAAGGAAGTGTTGCTTCTGGCTCTAATGTGCAGGCCACTGACTCAAACTCGCACTTGAATGTTGACCCAAGAAATTCCAATGTCATTCCTGTACCAGCCCAGGTGGCAACAGCAACTGGTGCCAGTGTAGAACAGACATCATTGACCTTCCTAACTGTAAGTTGGTTTAACTTAAAGATTGCTACAATGAAGTAAGGGAAATGCTTTGCAAATGTTCTAAATTGTATTTTCTGTTCTCAGGTTCCTGGACTTGCCTGGAAGCAGTCTGAACTGGCATCAACTTTGAATTTAATAAAATAATTGGAACACACACTCTTTGGATGTTCTTTGAAACTGTACTTGTGCTGTGCTGTAGACAGTGCTGCACCCTTACTTCCTGAACATGTCCACAACCACTTGCTTGTTTCCTTTGAACTTCAGGGGTTTGTTTTCCTGGCTAGGTACAATAACATTGTGAACAGCAGCTCACAGTAATGTGTTTGCAAATATGTATTGACAGCAAGTTTAAAAGACTTGACTAAGAATGTTCTTCACTTAACATTTGAAAGGCTGAGAACTTTCAAGGATGAGTGTCCAACATTATTTCAAAGTGTCAGACTCTGTGGTTCCTAATGAGGTTTATTGGACTACACATGACAAACTTGTATCACTTAAAACAATATCTTCAGAAACATTGCAGTTTATGCTTTATTCCATGCTGCTGAATTGATTGTCATATAATGCATATGTTTGTGTATTTCGGGCCTAATGTGTATAGGTCCGGTTAGGCATGTGTGTAACTTAACAACAGATTTAAAAACTGAGAGAATAAAAAAAGTATGCCTTCTAGAGTAAGACGGGTGAGCTGGAGGGCCCTGAGGTGGATGGATTTGTCAAATATATGATGGAGCTGGTGAAGGTGCCCTTAGATTCCCTTATACAGAGCTGATACACAATGTTATTGATCAGATATCAGTCAAGTGTCATTCATCAGGAGTCTTCTGACCTCTCTCTAACTCTACCACCCCCCGACCCTCTCCTCCAACCCAGCATCAGTGGCACAGACCTGGACAAGTTCAGGAAAGCTCTGATGGGTCACCGCGACATCAACGGAGACGGAAAGATCCAGAAGAACGAGCTGGCTCTCTGCCTCGGCCTCAAACTCAGCTAACAGACCCCCACAACGTTCACACATTTTTCTTTCTGTCCTCTATCCTTCTTTCCATCTTCCTTCTCTCTATGTACAGTTCTAAATTCTTTTATTTTTCAATTTAAATGTGTATCTTTTACTATACTCTTTTACTCCCGTGTGAATCATTACTTCTCCCTCCCTATTTTAGCAGTATCGCCTCAATTATTGGCTCTCAGTTGGTGTTTTAAGAATGATGTATCTACATGTTTTATGCTCGTGTGTATATATATAATGTTATATATTGCTAAAATATTTATATTAATATCTAGCAATTGAAATAATGGTAAATGTGTAGCCTTGAGTTGGGACATAAAAATCGTTTGTTTTCTTTGTAATGTAAAAAATAATGAAACATTGTTTGAATTACATTTTTTGTGAAATGAGTATCATGAATGATGGCTAATCAAATAGTTTGTGTCTTTGTCAGCTGTGTCTCTCTTTACTGAAACCATAAGTGTGCTACAAAAAGTGCTTTCAGTCACTGCAGGTGACTTTTATAGTGTCCTATAATCAATGGCTGCTTGGAGGAAAGAACATTTACAGTATTTGAGTCTAATTATTTGCTTTGGAAAATTATAAGCAGTAATATAAAATATGTGGTTTTCAATAAGCCAAAACACTTCCAAAATCATTTTCAAATCACAAGCATATTTGTTTTTAAGTAATCATACAGTGGTAAAAGGTCCCATAAGATCTCTCAACTTCAGTGGAAGAGAACAATATCTTATTTGCAGTGGAACATATATATAAATTAAATCTTAAACATATGTTAATATGTATACATATGTGTTTGATTTGAATACAGCTTGTCATTTCATAGTGTTTTAAGATCAAAAGCTTACACTTTTTAGGTCTTAGTTTCTGGGTCTTACTCATACCTCTGTGGTATTGAAGGAGGAAAATTCAATCAAAACCTCAATAAACAAAAACAAAACTACTATCAAACTATTATCGCCTGTCAGGGGAATTTTGCCTAGCGGCCAGGTAAAGGTTATCATTTGGTTAAACTGACTGAAATGTTGAAATGTGTCAAATTAGCTAAAGTGTGAACACCTGCCCAGGTTGCCAGAGGGCGGAGTTCCCAAGCTGATTCCAATGACTTCATCAGTGCGATGATTGGTCAGCTCATGCACCGACACTTTAAAAGGACCACTGTCTTTGCAGCAGTCATGAATCTGGAACAATAGATTATTTTTGTATTTGCTGCACACCGCTTACAGACTGTTTGGTTTCAGTTTTACAACAAAAATGTATTTTGAATTGTGTGTGAGGTAAGATATTCTTATTTTGGCAGATTTCTTATATTTATTCTACTTAACTGTTTTTGGTTGGCTCATGTTTAATTCCTCTTTTCTTAGAGTTCTTGTGCTCTCACTCTTGATTTTTGGGCAGCAAGCAAAGGGTAAGGATTTATGGTTCACAAGCTGCAGTTGAAATGTATAATTTTCCTATAAGGCTGTCTTTTAAAAAATGTGTTCTCCTTTTAGCACTCAGCTACAGAAGTGGAGGCCCCAGTGGCATTACACCTCACTTTGATTTTTCAAGAAGTCTTAAACCTGCTTCCACTTCCAATGATGATAGTTCAGCAAAGCCTGAGAGGTTTTTGGGTAGTTATTCACCCTTTCATGCTGATGGGGCTTTATCTGAGACTCTGAAGCCAGCTGCTGCACCAAGTGCAAGAGGTTATAGTGGCTCTCATGGTAGGCAAGTAGATGGTTACAGTCCTGAGGGAAGTGTTTCTAGTTACGGGCCAAGCCAACCAATAATTCGTAAACCAAACCAACTACCTCAAGCTAACCCTAGTGCAAATGGTGTCCTTCCAACCAAAGCTGCGCCGTGGGCTTTCCCTTTGCCCCATAATCCAAACTCTTTTCAGTCTGGTATTGCTTCAAGTTCTGCAATTGTGATGCACTCTGGTCCCTACTCTGCAGTGCCATCCAAGCCCCAGCAACCCAAAAACCTTCCAAAGCCCCAGCAGGCCCGCTACAAGCCTAAGCCCCACCAGCCCAAACCTCAGCAGGCCGCCAACCCTTCAAATCCCCTGCAGTTTTGGTACAGACCCAAACCTCAGCAGGCTGCAAATCCTTCAATTCCTCAGCAGGCCAAGCCCTACCAGCCCTCCTACCCTTTGAAACTCCAGCAGGCCACAAACCCTTCAAATCCCCTGCAGTCTAGGTACCGGCCCAAACCCCAGCAGACCAAGCCCAACCAGCCTTCCTACACTTCAAACCCTCAGCAGGCCAAGCCCTACCAGCGTTCCTACCCTTCAAATCCTAAGCAGGCCAAGCCCTACCAGCGTTCCTACCCTTCAAATCCTCAGCAGGCTAAGCCCGACCAGCCTTCCTACACTTCAAATCCTCAGCAGGCCAAGCCCTACCAGCGTTCCTACCCTTCAAATCCTCAGCAGGCCAAGCCCGACCAGCGTTCCTACCCTTCAAATCCTCAGCAGGCCAAGCTCGACCAGCCTTCCTACACTTCAAATCCTCAGCAGGCCAAGCCCTACCAGCGTTCCTACCCTTCAAATCCTCAGCAGGCCAAGCCCGAACAGCGTTCCTACCCTTCAAATCCTCAGCAGGCCAAGCCCTACCAGCGTTCCTACCCTTCAAATCCTCAGCAGGCCAAGCCCTACCAGCCATTATACCCTTCAAACCCTCAGCAGCCCAAACCTCAGCAGGCCAAACCCCTGCAAGGGGTGCTCCAAAGTAAAGCTGGCATGTGGGACATTCCTTTCGAAGGAAGTGTTGCTTCTGGCTCTAATGTGCAGCCCACTGACTCAAACTCGCACTTGAATGTTGACCCAAGAAGTTTGAGAGAAATTCCAATGTCATTCCTGTACCAGCCCAGGTGGCAACAGCAACTGGTGCCAGTGTAGAACAGACATCATTGACCTTCCTAACTGTAAGTTGGTTTAACTTAAAGATTGCTACAATGAAGTAAGGGAAATGCTTTGCAAATGTTCTAAATTGTATTTTCTGTTCTCAGGTTCCTGGACTTGCCTGGAAGCAGTCTGAACTGGCATCAACTTTGAATTTAATAAAAATTAGAACACGCACTCTTTGGATGTTCTTTGAAACTGTACTTGTGCTGTGCTGTAGACAGTGTTGCACCCTTACTTCCTGAACATGTCCACAACCACTTGCTTGTTTCCTTTGAACTTCAGGGGTTTGTTTTCCTGGCTAGGTACAATAACATTGTGAACAGCAGCTCACAGTAATGTGTTTGCAAATATGTATTGACAGCAAGTTTAAAAGACTTGACTAAGAATGTTCTTCACTTAACATTTGAAAGGCTGAGAACTTTCAAGGATGAGTGTCCAACATTATTTCAAAGTGTCAGACTCTGTGGTTCCTAATGAGGTTTATTGGACTACACATGACAAACTTGTATCACTTAAAACAATATCTTCAGAAACATTGCAGTTTATGCTTTATTCCATGCTGCTGAATTGATTGTCATATAATGCATATGTTTGTGTATTTTGGGCCTAATGTGTATAGGTCCTGTTAGGCATGTGTGTAACTGTTAATCAACAGATTGAAACACTGAGAGAATAAAAAAAGTATGCCTTCTAGAGTAAGACGGGTGAGCTGGAGGGCCCTGAGGTGGATGGATTTGTCAAATATATGATGGAGCTGGTGAAGGTGCCCTTAGATTCCCTTATACAGAGCTGATACACAATGTTATTGATCAGATATCAGTCAAGTGTCATTCATCAGGAGTCTTCTGACCTCTCTCTAACTCTACCACCCCCCGACCCTCTCCTCCAACCCAGCATCAGTGGCACAGACCTGGACAAGTTCAGGAAAGCTCTGATGGGTCACCGCGACATCAACGGAGACGGAAAGATCCAGAAGAACGAGCTGGCTCTCTGCCTCGGCCTCAAACTCAGCTAACAGACCCCCACAACGTTCACACATTTTTCTTTCTGTCCTCTATCCTTCTTTCCATCTTCCTTCTCTCTATGTACAGTTCTAAATTCTTTTATTTTTCAATTTAAATGTGTATCTTTTACTATACTCTTTTACTCCCGTGTGAATCATTACTTCTCCCTCCCTATTTTAGCAGTATCGCCTCAATTATTGGCTCTCAGTTGGTGTTTTAAGAATGATGTATCTACATGTTTTATGCTCGTGTGTATATATAATGTTATATATTGCTAAAATATTTATATTAATATCTAGCAATTGAAATAATGGTAAATGTGTAGCCTTGAGTTGGGACATAAAAATCGTTTGTTTTCTTTGTAATGTAAAAAATAATGAAACATTGTTTGAATTACATTTTTTGTGAAACGAGTATCATGAATGATGGCTAATCAAATAGTTTGTGTCTTTGTCAGCTGTGTCTCTCTTTACTGAAACCATAAGTGTGCTACAAAAAGTGCTTTCAGTCACTGCAGGTGACTTTTATAGTGTCCTATAATCAATGGCTGCTTGGAGGAAAGAACATTTACAGTATTTGAGTCTAATTATTTGCTTTGGAAAATTATAAGCCGTAATATAAAATATGTGGTTTTCAATAAGCCAAAACACTTCCAAAATCATTTTCAAATCACAAGCATATTTGTTTTTAAGTAATCATACAGTGGTAAAAGGTCCCATAAGATCTCTCAACTTCAGTGGAAGAGAACAATATCTTATTTGCAGTGGAACATATATATAAATTAAATCTTAAACATATGTTAATATGTATACATATGTGTTTGATTTGAATACAGCTTGTCATTTCATAGTGTTTTAAGATCAAAAGCTTACACTTTTTAGGTCTTAGTTTCTGGGTCTTACTCATACCTCTGTGGTATTGAAGGAGGAAAATTCAATCAAAACCTCAATAAACAAAAACAAAACTACTATCAAACTATTATCGCCTGTCAGGGGAATTTTGCCTAGCGGCCAGGTAAAGGTTATCATTTGGTTAAACTGACTGAAATGTTGAAATGTGTCAAATTAGCTAAAGTGTGAACACCTGCCCAGGTTGCCAGAGGGCGGAGTTCCCAAGCTGATTCCAATGACTTCATCAGTGCGATGATTGGTCAGCTCATGCACCGACACTTTAAAAGGACCACTGTCTTTGCAGCAGTCATGAATCTGGAACAATAGATTATTTTTGTATTTGCTGCACACCGCTTACAGACTGTTTGGTTTCAGTTTTACAACAAAAATGTATTTTGAATTGTGTGTGAGGTAAGATATTCTTATTTTGGCAGATTTCTTATATTTATTCTACTTAACTGTTTTTGGTTGGCTCATGTTTAATTCCTCTTTTCTTAGAGTTCTTGTGCTCTCACTCTTGATTTTTGGGCAGCAAGCAAAGGGTAAGGATTTATGGTTCACAAGCTGCAGTTGAAATGTATAATTTTCCTATAAGGCTGTCTTTTAAAAAATGTGTTCTCCTTTTAGCACTCGGCTACAGAAGTGGAGGCCCCAGTGGCATTACACCTCACTTTGATTTTTCAAGAAGTCTTAAACCTGCTTCCACTTCCAATGATGATAGTTCAGCACAGCCTGAGAGGGTTTTGGGTAGTTATTCACCCTTTCATGCTGATGGGGCTTTATCTGAGACTCTGAAGCCAGCTGCTGCACCAAGTGCAGGAGGTTATAGTGGCTCTCATGGTAGGCAAGTAGATGGTTACAGTCCTGAGGGAAGTGTTTCTAGTTACGGGCCAAGCCAACCAATAATTCGTAAACCAAACCAACTACCTCAAGCTAACCCTAGTGCAAATGGTGTCCTTCCAACCAAAGCTGTGCCGTGGGCTTTCCCTTTGCCCCATAATCCAAACACTTTTCAGTCTGGTATTGCTTCAAGTTCTGCACTTGTGATGGACTCTGGTCCCTACTCTGCAGTGCCATCCAAGCCCCAGCAGCCCAAAAACCTTCCAAAGCCCCAGCAGGCCCGCTACAAGCCTAAGCCCCACCAGCCCAAACTTCAGCAGGCCGCCAACCCTTCAAATCCCCTGCAGTCTTGGTCCCGACCCAAACCTCAGCAGGCTGCAAATCCTTCAATTCCTCAGCAGGCCAAGCCCTACCAGCCCTCCTACCCTTTGAAACTCCAGCAGGCAGCAAACCCTTCAAATCCCCTGCAGTCTAGGTACCGGCCCAAACTCCAGCAGACCAAGCCCAACCAGCCTTCATACCCTTCAAATCCTCAGCAGGCCAAGCCCTACCAGCCCTCCTACCCTTTGAAACTCCAGCAGGCCGCAAACCCTTCAAATCCCCTGCAGTCTAGGTACCGGCCAAAACCCCCGCAGACTAAGCCCAACCAGCCTTCCTACCCTTCAAATCCTCAGCAGGCCAAGCCCTACCAGCATTCATACCCTTCAAATCCTCAGCAGGCCAAGCCCTACCAGCCCTCCTACCCTTTGAAACTCCAGCAGGCCGCAAACCCTTCAAATCCCTTGCAGTCTAGTTACAGGCCAAAACCCCAGCAGACCAAGGCCAACCAGCCTTCCTACACTTCAAATCCTCAGCAGGCCAAGCCCTACCAGCCAGCCTACCCTTTGAATCCCCAGCGGGCTACCAACCCTTCAAGTCCCCTGCAGTCTAGTTACCGGCCAAAACCCCAGCAGCCTTCCTACCCTTCAAATCCCCTGCAGTCTAGGTACCGGCCAAAACCCCAGCATCCTGCCTACCCTTCAAATCCTCAGCAGGCCGAACCCCTGCAAGGGGTGCTCCAAAGTAAAGCTGGCATGTGGGACATTCCTTCCGAAGGAAGTGTTGCTACTGGCTCCAATGTGCAGGCCAAGCCCTACCAGCCAGCATACCCTTTGAATCCCCAGCGGGCTACCAACCCTTCAAATCCCCTGCAGTCTAGGTACCGGCCAAAACCCCAGCATCCTGCCTACCCTTCAAATCCTCAGCAGGCCAAGCCTCAGCAGGCCGAACCCCTGCAAGGTGTGCTCCAAAGTAAAGCTGGCATGTGGGACATTCCTTCCGAAGTAAGTGTTGCTTCTGGCTCTAATGTGCAGGCAAAGCCCTACCAGCCAGCATACCCTTTAAATCCCCAGCGGGCTACCAACCCTTCAAGTCCCCTGCAGTCTAGGTACCGGCCAAAACCCCAGCAGCCTTCCTACCCTTCAAATCCCCTGCAGTCTAGGTACCGGCAAAAACCCCAGCATCCTGCCTACCCTTCAAATCCTCAGCAGGCCAAGCCTCAGCAGGCCGAACCCCTGCAAGGGGTGCTCCAAAGTAACGCTGGCATGTGGGACATTCCTTCCGAACGAAGTGTTGCTTCTGGCTCTAATGTGCAGGCCAAGCCCTACCAGCCAGCATACCCTTTGAATCCCCAGCGGGCTACCAACCCTTCAAGTCCCCTGCAGTCTAGGTACCGGCCAAAACCCCAGCAGCCTTCCTACCCTTCAAATCCCCTGCAGTCTAGGTACCGGCCAAAACTCCAGAATCCTGCCTACCCTTCAAATCCTCAGCAGGCCGAACCCCTGCAAGGGGTGCTCCAAAGTAAAGCTGGCATGTGGGACATTCCTTCCGAAGGAAGTGTTGCTTCTGGCTCTAATGTGCAGGCCAAGCCCTACCAGCCAGCATACCCTTTGAATCCCCAGCGGGCTACCAACCCCTCAAGTCCCCTGCAGTCTAGGTACCGGCCAAAACCCCAGCAGCCTTCCTACCCTTCAAATCCCCTGCAGTCTAGGTACCGGCCAAAACTCCAGAATCCTGCCTACCCTTCAAATCCTCAGCAGGCCAAGCCTCAGCAGGCCAAACCCCTGCAAGGGGTGCTCCAAAGTAAAGCTGGCATGTGGGACATTCCTTCCGAAGGAAGTGTTGCTTCTGGCTCTAATGTCCAGGCCAAGCCCTCCCATCCAGCATACCCTTTGAATCCCCAGGGGGCTACCAACCCCTCAAGTCCCCTGCAGTCTAGGTACCGGCCAAAACCCCAGCAGCCTTCCTACCCTTCAAATCCCCTGCAGTCTAGGTTCTGGCCAAAACTCCAGAATCCTGCCTACCCTTCAAATCCTCAGCAGGCCAAGCCTCAGCAGGCCAAACCCCTGCAAGGGGTGCTTCAAAGTAAAGCTGGCATGTGGGACATTCCTTCCGAAGGAAGTGTTGCTGCTGGCTCTAATGGGCAGGCCAAGCCCTACCATCCAGCATACCCTTTGAATCCCCAGCGGGCTACCAACCCCTCAAGTCCCCTGCAGTCTAGGTACCGGCCAAAACCCCAGCAGCCTTCCTACCCTTCAAATCCCCTGCTGTCTAGGTACCGGCCAAAACCCCAGCATCCTGCCTACCCTTCAAATCCTCAGCATGCCAAGCCTCAGCAGGCTGAACCCCTGCAAGGGGTGCTCCAAAGTAAAGCTGGCATGTGGGACATTCCTTCCGAAGGAAGTGTTGCTTCTGGCTCTAATGTGCAGCCCACTGACTCCAACTCGCACTTGAATGTTGACCCAAGAAGTTTGAGAGAAATTCCAATGTCATTCCTGTACCAGCCCAGGTGGCAACAGCAACTGGTGCCAGTGTAGAACAGACATCATTGACCTTCCTAACTGTAAGTTGGTTTAACTTAAAGATTGCTACAATGAAGTAAGGGAAATACTTTGCAAATGTTCTAAATTGTATTTTCTGTTCTCAGGTTCCTGGACTTGCCTGGAAGCAGTCTGAACTGGCATCAACTTTGAATTTAATAAAATACTTGGAACACACTCTTTGGATGTTATTTGAAACTTTACTTGTGCTGTGCTGTAGACAGTGCTGCACCCTTACTTCCTGAACATGTCCACAACCACTTGCTTGTTTCCTTTGAACTTCAGGGGTTTGTTTTCCTGGCAAGGTACAATAACATTGTGAACAGCAGCTCACAGTAATGTGTATGCAAGTTTAAAAGACTTGTCTAAGAATGTTCTTCACTTAACATTTGAAAGTTTGATGACTTAAAGGCTGAGAACTTTCAAGGATGAGTGTCCAACATTATTTTAAAGTGTCAGACTCTGTGGTTCCTACACTCAAAAAAAACTGATTCTTGGTCCACATAAATATGAAGCAATATTTTCAGATATAATATAACTGAAATCTGTCAAATATAAAGTGGATTTGTTCAAGCAATTGAACACCGTGAATATAAACTGAATGTAAGACAATTAGTACAGTTTATTCTATTAAATCCCATAAAGGGAAGGCAGACCCTGAAAGGAGGTAACGCGCATGACGTTACTGACGTTGACTAGTGTTCACACTGGACGTAGACTTGGCGTTTCAACCTACACCGTCAATCGACGGACTTTAGGTAAGTCTAATTGTTTAATATTTCGCTGCTTAACCATACGTTATTGAAGATGAAAAGTTATTTTAACGTGTTTATGCTATAAATAGACGAATATAATTGTCTGCATGTGTATATTCGTCATGCAGTTAGGTTCGCGTTTCACAATGCTGGCTGGCTAGCTAGCGAAACGAGGCCAGCTAGCGAAACGAGGCTAGCTAGTTGGGTGCTGCTTGTACTAAGCATGAACCAGAGCCGGCAGCAGCACCTTTTGTGCTTTGTTGCCCTCGTGAGAGTTAGTAATTCAAGTTACATTGGAGTTCCTTTCGTGCCGTATTTTTAGCTAACACTATCTAATATCGGCATGAAGGTGTTCTTTTCCCCATAATGACCAAGTCGCTGCACATTATCCCGCTTATTACATGGCCACATTCTCAACAAAGTAACGACATGACTCCCAATATTAATTGAAATGCTTTTATGGATTTAGAAAATGATTTTATTGATTTAAAAAATAGTTGTATGTATTGATTTAAATTGACATCCATCCGCTAAGGAAAATAGTCCGTTGTTACCGTTTGAAAAACGTAGCAACGGCAGGAAGGCGGAGCTTTTTGATTACAGATTTGAAAACATCGTTGCTTGCTTTAAAAGTATCTAGATATCCCTGCCCTAATGCCAAAGGAACTGCACACTGAATATGTTTTGCCGTTTGATGTCTATGTTTGGACCGCTGCGTAAAAAGGAGGGTTTCTGCCCGTTACTTCTCCGCTGTTTTCTTGTCGCTCTTGTCTTGTCAGTTCGAAAAAAATGCTTTTCGAACTGACAAGACAAGAGCTTAAAAGCAAACTGCAGTTTGCTTTTCAGCCAAACTGCAGTTTGCTTTTCAGCCAAACTGTATACAGATAAATCGACCGGACTTCTTTGTGCAGATGTGAGCGTCCTTAACAACGGTCAATAAATCATTGACAGCGGTCTGTCTGTTCTGGATTAACAACGTGTCACGTGTTCTGAATTGACCAATCAGAATCGAGTATTCAACTAAACCATGTAATAATTTCTTATATCTACTCTTCGTTAGTCCATGACATAAGGCTTAGCTATAGCTGTAGCTCGAGCCAGACAGAAAGGGAGTAGAGTTAGGATAGGAAAGAAAAAAGAAATGCATAAATACATGGATGAAAATAAATACATTTAAGACATATTGGAGCCCTCTTCATTTACCAACTTCTATTCATGCATTTATGTACTTGATTTATGTATATATTCATGAATTACTTGTGCTTTATTTTACTCTTTGTATACATTAATTTAGTATTTATTTCAATGTTATTTTTCTTCCAATTCTTCTTCATTCTCTCAAGTATGTATTTACTCCTGCAATTATTTATACTATTAATTATTTCCCTAGTTCCTCTTATAGTTATTTGAGCATTCATTTTAGCATTTATTTATTTAGTGAGTATTTGATTGATGTTTGTCATTTTGTTGTCCTCCATACTAGGGTTGGTGTGAATAATCAAATATCACATAATACTAATTAGTGATTAAAAACCGACATTTTCTACCAAGTAGCATCATTTTTAAATCAAGCTGCTGCTCTGCATCACAGAAATCCAGCAGAGGCCTTATTTACTTACATAATATTTCAATATCTGGCTAGTTTGCTGCATTGTTCTACAATGCCAAGGAATAGCTTATTCCTCACCTTTGGAAACTAACCTTGTGCTATTTTTGTTATAGATCTAGGAGCTAAATCAACAATGTGGATGGGCAACCTCTCTATATACTGTAGGTAAGTAATTTGAACGTGATGCAATCATTTCATTTCTTATACTTGATAGCATTGAGAAGTTTTTGAAACTTTTATTTTTTTATTTTTTTTAGGTGTAATATGTGAATGGGCGTGTGGCAATGTAAGGTGTGTGGAAAGTCTGTAGCAAGTAGATACGAGCTGCTTAAACATGGCAAATTAAAACATCATGGGAACAGGTTCCGGCATCCTTGCCCATACACTAATTGCCCCTGCACATTTAGATTGTGGAACAGTCTTTTGAGTCATATATACCGTAGTCATAAAACCCAAACATCCCCAAAGTCATCTGAGTTGTCTACATTTTCATGTCAGTTGTGTGCTTGTCCTGAGCTTTCAAATGAACAAGCTTATTTCAGTCATGTAAATGAACATCTACAGAGAAATGAAACTGTAACATGCATGTTTAAAGATTGTGTTTTTAAAACTAACATCTACAATACATTTCATACTCATAAATACAGGAAACATAATCCCCATATTTTAAGTGATTTCAAAGCTGAGGTTGTTACTGTAGTTGTTGGATTAATTGAATCTGACAATTCTGTTATTGATGGTGCTGCAGATGCAGATGTAGAATCTGATACTTGTATAGATGCACATGGTTGTTTTGATACTGAAGATCTACCCAAGGTTATTGAGCAGAAAATTGCCTCTGTTTTACTGAAATTAGAACACATTTTGTTTGTACCGGCAACAGCAATTGACGAATTACTGCAGGAATTACACTTTTTGTTAAGCTTCTCATCTGTTCCGATAACCTTTAACGGCCTATCGGACATTTTTAAAAACCACTGTGTTGAAATTGATGAGTCCATTGTCAAAGAGCTTGCTCAAGAAGTGTGTAAATCTAATCCCTTGACCAAAGCCTTTGCAAAAGACGGCCCCCTGGCTACATCTTTCAAAAGAAAAAAGTATTACAAAGAATATTTCAGTGTGGTAAATCCAGTTGAGTACATCCTTGATCCTAAGAGTAAAAGAACATATCAGTATATTCCTATATTGCGTTCTTTGCAGCATCTGTTAAGTAACAGTGACATACTAAAAAGTGTAATTCACACACACGAGACACAGAAAAGTACACAGTGTTTAGGGCAGTATAAGTCGATAAGGGATGGAAGTTACTCAAAAGAAAATGGCCTTTTTACTGGGGAGGATTTGAAATGATCATTATCACTATATGTTGATGACTTTGAGGTGTGCAACCCCATAGGTACGTCCAGAAAAACTCATAAACTTTGTGGTGTGTATTGGATTTTGAATAATTTACCACCTGGATCTCACTCAGCTCTTTCTTCCATCTACTTAGCTGTATTATGCAAGACTATTGATGTGAAATAGTACGGATACAGATGAAGCGTCTTCTTTTGGACAGTTTAAAATGCGAGGGTCGTGATCGGTTCGTGCACGTTCCGTGATGGCCGGCCGGCCCCCAGTCTGACTTGATACCGCCCCCGTGATAAATACATTTAATTATTGTGAAGCCAGCTGCAATGGATCATTGATCCACCAGGGGGTGCAGTGGGGTTCCACACTGGAGTCATGTGAAATCAACTTCTTTGTTGTTAAGATCCATATGTCACGGATAGGATCATAGTCTGTGCTAAATAAGACATGTAATCATTTAAATAATGTTGTTTAGTCGGAAAAAAACGAACGAGCCGGCTCTCCCGATTTTTAATCCTAATTTAATCATCATCATTGATGTTTATGTTCGCCGAATTGACATGAAATCACTGACAAATATGAATATTCTGTATTCAACTTCATTGAAACGATCAGGATGGGTGTTATTTTTCCCCACAATGACCAAGTCGCTGCAAATGATCCCATGTATTACATGTACATGGCCACATTCTCAACAAAGTAACGTAACGAAACATTCTGTATTCCTTGCTTACTTTTTATTTAATGCTTTATAACAGCTGGAATAGTTCGTTTAGAACAGGCACCTCACTCGCAATCTGCTCCTCCGCAACGCCTACCACCTACCTCCGGCTGAAATTATGAATGTACAGTAAGGCATAGTAATCATAGATAACACGGCAGGGTCCGTTACAGTTTGTTTTCATCTGATTTCAAATATTTCAAATGTCTGAAGTTAATAAATACATTCTCAGTGTTCAAGTCAATAATAGTCATATAAGAAAAGTACTGATCTAATAACAGAGATTTTATAAGGACTTTTCAATGTTCGACATCGCTCATGTGAAATACAGTAAACTGGATGTTGTGGTGCCGAGAGGCGGGGTATCAAAAGTCCAAGCTAAACTTTTATTTAGCATCTGAACACACTTGTAAACAACGTGATGCCCGGGAAGCGAAGACCCGGCGGAAACAGCTGGTCTGGTTCACTAAAATGTCCGTGTACAGTATATCTGGTACTAATGTATAGCGGATCTTTGTTAAGATCCATATGTCACGGATAGGATCATAGTCTGGATCATAGTCTGTGCTAAATAAGACATGTAATCATTTACAAAACATCACCATGTTGTTATGCGCATGTGCGAGATGTTATGCATGTGCGCATGTGCGAGATGGTCCGCCATGTTGCACAACTCAATTAAAAAAAGTGTGTTGGTGTATGATCACATTTGTATATGAAAATGTCAGAAGTTAATAAATAC